CCCCCCCCCCCCCTCCCCCCCCCCCCCCCGCCCCCCCCCCCGCCCCCGTGCCCGCACCTACCCCCGGCCACTCCCCCCGCGGTTCAGCCCTCGCCCCGGCTCCTCCCCCTCCCCGCCCCCTGCCCTGTCCCAGCTCGGCCCCGCTGGAGAATGGAGCCTTTGCTCACACCAGATGTGTTGGACGGCATCACATGCCCTACTGTCTGGGGCTCACTTGCTGTTTCCGAAAAGGGGGAAAGGATTTGGGGCGGACAATCCCGGCGCCTCCTGCTGGCTTTAGGGAGAGACAGGGCTGCGCTGGAGGAGAGCCCTGGGGAGCAGGCAGAGGTGGGTTGGCCAGGGCCTTGTGGGACTTGTGCCGAGAAACCACACTTATTCTCTGCGGCTGGCAGTTGTCAGACTAGGTCTTATAGATGCTAAGTCACCACAGAGGTATATTAGCTATGTTGCAAATGCTTGATTTGAATTTGTTTATTTTTTTAAACCAAAGTATTTTAAATGATTTTTAAAGCTTACTTTAAAAGACTGCTCAGATGTGCTGTGTCTCATTTATGGTTCCTTATTCACGTGCAAGAGGAGCTGGCTCTGCTATCGACAAGAGGGCTGCTGGTTCCCTCTGGAAGTGATTTTGAAAATTTTTAAGCACCAAAACTTCCTTCCAAACCAAGAATTCTGTGGTGCCTCAATAAATAAGACTGATAGAAAGTATTTTATTAGGATAGAGTGATTTTATAATCTTTATTAAATAGTTGATAATCTAGGGAAAGAAAGATGGAGCTGCAAGGAGGGAAGGCAGAGGGGAAGGGAAACATCGCCAGGCTGTAGGTGGGGCAGGGAATGAAATGGTGGCTTAGACAGGTGCAGGCGGAGGGAAGGACCCACGGGAAGAGAGTCTTGCCTTTCTGGCTCCCGGTTCTTTCCTTGCTGATGGATTGGATGTGGGTCATGGGGTGGCAAAAGAGAAAACCAGGAAGACTCTTGAGATTTCGGCTTGAGCAACTGGGCAGATTCTGGTGCCAGCGGTTGAAGTGGAGAGTGGGAAACTGAACGTGCCCTCCTGAGGGCATGCCCTGGCCTCGTGTGTGTGGGTACACTTTTGAGCGGTTACAGGAGGTAATGGTAAGGAATGATAACAGCAGAACATCAGCATAAGCCTGATAAAGGATTATAAAAATCAAGCCATCAGGGTAAACTCAATGTAACTACTCTTGCAAATTGAATAGCCTCTGGCTTTTACTAAGAATGGAATAAGGGATAGTAACTGTAGCTTTAATTCCGTTAACAACAGAGCTAAAAATCTGCCATAGCTGTGTAGATTGCTGGCTACCTGAATGCATTCAGGTTTTTTCTAAATAATAAATTATCTAATAATTCTCTGTTTATGAATTGGTGTGTCCCTTTGGGGCTTGGTTTCTCTTTTGCCCCCACAAGTTTTGTGACAAGGTTGGGACGCCTTGAGCAAGCCTTTCTGCTGGGCTAACTGGAGGATGTGTAGCCGTCTCTGATCAGACAAGAAGCCCTATTTGCTGAAGTCTTTCTTCAACACTTTGACTCAGTAAGACCATCTTTTGATCGATCCCACTGCTGTAGCTTACACTAAAGAAAAATCATGGTCATGTGTAAAGCTATATCCTCTCCCTAGCTCAAATGCAGGGACTAGAGCCTATAATTAGAGAACTAGAAAGAGAATAATGAAGAAAGGACATTTGCCTTGTAATACTCTCTCTATACTACCTATGAAAAAGGAAGGAAAATTAACAAAGAAGGTTAGCTTGCTTACAGATTTTTACAAGATCTGATGATAGAAATATATTTTTGGCATGTCTGACAGTTGTAGTACTCAACACTGCTACTGTCTTATCCTCCTATTGTGGGACCTAACTAATTTTAGTAATAAACTTATGTTGAGTTTTCTTTTCTATACTTTTAGCTTTCCGTATTAGTGGCAATGCATCCCCTAGGGATTCAGAGATTTGCTTACTATAACATCTAGGCATTTACAAAATAACTTAAATAATCTTTCTCCACATCAGGGGTCCATATATGGATATATCTAGATGATTTATTGATAGGTAACACCTCATGTGCTTGTAAACAAGATGCATTAGGCCGGACTTGGTGGCTCACGTCTGCAAAACCAGCACATCGGCTGGCTGAGGTGGGTGGATTGCTTGAGCTTAGAGTTTGAGACCAGCCTGGGCAACATGGTAAAATCTCATCTCTACAAAAACATACAAAAATTAGCTAGGCCTGGTGGTGGGTGCCTGTAGTCCTAGTTGTTAGGGATGGAGCTGTGCTGTGTCAGAAACCCCCTCTGCGCGGGCTGACCCCACCCCCCTCTGACTGCTGTGCAGCTGCATTGCTGAACCCCTACCAAGCGCCACATCAAGGCTGCTACGATTAAGCAAAGCCTAATTACAGCTATCGGGACAGCATGGGCAGCCCGAGGGAGGACAGGAAAACCATGCGTTGGTTATCCATACCTGTAAATTCTGATTGACACAGGTCTGTAAAAAATCCTGGTTTCTGTCCTTTTTTGTTTAAAGACTGCCACCACAAAAGCCACAGGATGATGTATTGTAGGTCTGCTGCAAGTTAACGAATTATCTCTGTGCCTGTTACCTGAAATCCCCTTATGCCCCTCTCACCCCATAAAAACCCTTGTCTTGTAAGCTCGGGCTGCTGCCTCCTCTGAGCAGCCCGGCAGGTTAATAAACTTGCTTGCCTGACTTTGGGTCTGTTCTCCTTTCTCTCGGCAGCCCTTACATTATTGGTGCCGAAGCCCCGGAGGGGTAGGTTCTGGCCGGGCGTCCTTACGGGACTCTCTCGCCCTTTCTCTCTCCTTCCCTCCCTCTTCTATCCCTTCTCTCCAGGCCGTCCTTCCCTTCCCCAAACCTGCCGAAGACCCGGAAATTCTCCCAGACTCTCCCATTGCTGGCGACTGCATCCACCATCAGAGCCTCTGCTGGGGCGAGTAAGAGAGATCGTTGCCATTTCCCGGAACCCTTGACCCTCTCTGCCTTCCCAAAAGACCCAGCGCTTGTCCAAAAGCTTCCTCCTGCCTCCAGGCCTCCGGTTCCTCTGTTTCAGGGACGGACGCCTGACTCGATGGCTAGCTCCCGAATCCCGGACAAGGCCCGTAGGACAGGGGCCGCCCTCTCCCCCTGTCCTTGTCAATCTGCAGTCTCTTCTTCCTCTCCCTCCCTCCCCCATTCGCTATGGGAGCCTGTCAGTCTTCCCCTTCCAAGACTACCCCCCTTGGGTGTGTCTTGCTAATCTCCATGCTCTCGGCCTCCGTTCAGAAGTCCGTCGTAAGAGGCTTATCTTTTACTGTAATACCGTCTGGCCTCAGTACAAATTAGACAATGGTTCCCAATGGCCTGAAAATGGCACTTTGCATTTCAACGTACTTAAGGGCTTAGACAACTTTTGCCACTGCAATGGGAAATGCTCTGAGATTCCTTATGTTCAGGCTTTCTTCACTCTTTCGTAGCTGTCCTTCGATCTGCCGGTCCTGCTCTACTTTCCAAATCCTCCTGGCTGGCTCCTAACCTGACTCTCTTCCTGTCACTCTGCCCACAGCACCGGCTGACAAACCTGCTCCTGCCACATTCCCACAGTCCCAGCTAACGACTCCTCTTCCACTTACCTGGATGATTTTCCTCCGCCTTAACCACACCATGATCCCCCCACCAGAGCACTGTATTCCTCCACCATACATCCAGCTCCAGCCCTCTGCTTTCCCCCCCACCTCCCTTCTCTCGGCTACCCTTATGCCACGTACTTGGGAGACTGAAGTGGGAGGATCACTTGAGCCTGGGAGCTGGAGGTTCTCGTGAGCGAAGATCACACCACTGCATTCCAGTCTGGGTGACAGAGTGAGACCCTATCCCCCAAACAAAAACAAGATACATTAGCTTTACCAAAATTCTAACCTCTCAAGGCTATAAATCTCCTCCAGATAATTTGTAATATTGTTAAACCCAGGTCAAGTATTTGGAATATTTGTTATCAGCTGATGGATGGGAAATAGTTCCATCCCCAAAGCCACCTGTTTTACAAATGAAGCAGTAGCTTCAAGAAGCAATAGCTTTGTCGCTGTGAAGAAATGGCTCCACCCTGTTGAGCTTGTGCACGATGCAAGCAACAGGCCCTGCCTCTTCTGAGAGGTGAGCCACTCATGGTGGTGCTGCCTGAAGCATCGTAACTGCTAACAGATGCTAAAGAAGCCTTCAGATCCTTAAGTAGCCCTTGCTCTCCCGCCTGTACTCAGAGTCAGTTCCTAGCTGGTCATCTCTTCTCCCTTTCTGTAAGGAGAATAGGGGGCCGTTAGTGGTGGCTGTGCTTCCTCAAACACTAGCTTTTGGTTTACTTTTATGTGCCACTTGATTCTGTTGCTCCGGGGATGCCAGGCTGTTTAGAAGTCTTTCCAACATCTGGTCTCTGCTTGAGAAGGTGCAGGCCTTGGCTTGGGGATGTAATTGTGTGGGCCTTGTGCTGTTGTGCTGTTGCTGCCTTTTTTTTTTTGAGACAGAGTTTCATTGTCACCCATGCTGGAGTGCAGTGGTATGATCTCAACTCACTGCAACCTCCACCTCCTGGATTCAAGTGATTCTCCTGCCTCAACCTCCTGAGTAGCTAGGATTACAGGTGTGCACCATCATGCCTGGCTAATTTTTGCATTTTTAGTGGAGACTGGGTTTCACCATGTTGGCCAGGCTGGTCTCGAACTCCTGACCCCAAGTGATCCACCCACCTCAGCCTCCCAAAGTGCTGGGATTACAGGCGTGAGCCACTGCTCCTGTACTGTTGCTGCTGCTTTATAAGTTCCTATGACACAGCACTTGTCAGTGCTCTGCAAGCATTACTGGCTGACCCTAATGGGATTCTAGGAAGGTGTGAACTTTGAGCCCAGTGACTCCGTTGCCAGATCCCATCCAGACAGCAGCACGACCGCCTCGCAGCCCCCAACAAAGATGCGTGGCCTCCATCTGATTCATCATATAGTCTTGCTCCCATGTTAACTTAATAGCGTTCACTGATGGGTCTTATGTGAGAGACACAGGAGGAGACAGAAAAGCATCTAATGTAGAAGTCAGTTCTCATGGGATTCTAGAGGCTTGCGTTCCCCCCACACATAAAGTGAGCCCAGGCAATGGAGCTCAGCGTTTACATGAGCTGTTACAGTCACCACTGGTCTCAACGTGTGTATCTATACTAGTAGTAAGTGTGTGTTTGGGGTCTGTCGTCCCATGGGACAAATTAAAAAATAGAGGCTTTCCAGTGATAATGGGAATGACAGCATCATGGGGAAAGTAACTGCTCATTTCTGTGGTTCCTACCGGCTCTGTGGAGGCCTGGGTGGGAGGATGTTGGGAGCTCCATGAACTGTTTTCTAGCTGCCACTCAAGTCATTTACCAGCATCCAAGCCTGGGGTTTGGGGAAGCTGAGCGTAGTCAGGGGTAGTGGGGACAGGAACAGGGATAGATGAAGAAATATTAAGGAAGCACTTGGTGCCAATTGGAGGGCAAAGTTGTCTAGGAAATTGTCTGGGCTAGGAAAAGGTTGGGCAATTGGGGTGGGTAGCTGAGACATTCACACATTCACTATTAGTGGAAATACAGGAAGAGAGGGTACAGGTTCGCAGGACCCATTTATGGTCATGTTGAATTCAAAGTGGATGTAATAATAATACATGTTGATATCATTCTGAATGATGACAGAACTTGGATGCAAAGGAACATTGCGAACCAGGTGCAAAAATCTTGTGCCAATGTAGCTTGAGAGATGAACTCTCTGAGGTGTAGGGTGTTATTAAGCTGAACGCTGTGAATAAGATGGAACAAGTATTTTTTTTTAATGAGGAATTTAAAAAATGGCTGTAGATCTGCACTGACAAGTGGGAAAATAGCCAGCTCTACCTGTTGACCCCAAGGTGTTCAAGGTGAAGGAGGAGGCTCCATCAACATGACCTCACAAGAGAGCCAGCCTTCAGAAAGAGGAGAGCAGAAGGTGATTTTTTTATGGGTTAGGTGGAAGTTGTGGGGACATGAAATAGTGTCCTAAGAGGTATTTCTAGTTTTCTCTGAAGGATACCTTCACCTTCAAAGATTATTCTTTTAATAACTTTCCAAGTACAATAACTCCACATAGTCAAAGATGGTCAATTACAATCGAAATAAGATACCACGGATGAAAATCAGCAGCACGACCCCACCTTCTGAAAAATTAACAATGGATTCTCAAAGACATAGATATTGAAATGACCAGACGTAGAATATAAAACAAATCTTACTGTGTTTAATAAAGACAAGCTTGAAAATATTTGCAGGGAATAGGAGAGTGTATAAAGTTATATAGTAGGTTTGAAAAAAAGGAACAGAACTCAGTTGACATCTCTTGACTTGCTTGTTGCTGGAACATTCTCTCTGGGACCCCTGAGCCCATCTAACCTCCAGTCTGTCCATCAACTGATCGCTGCTCGGTCACCTCAGACGATGCCATTGGGAGCAGGAGAACTGCTTAGCTGAGCCCTGCCTGGATGCCTGACCCATAATGAGGGAATGTGTTTTCTTTCCTGGTCCATAAGGAGGCATGGTTTTAAGGGCAAGAACTTCCCAGTGTCATGCCCCTCTCCCATCTCTCTCTATCTGGGAGATTTAACTGTTATGTTTGAATTTCACGGGCATAGGAAGAAACTAAAAGTCAATCACTCCAGAGGAAGTTCTAAGGAACTCCTTTCATTGGCCAGCGGTCTTAGAGAAGGTGGGGGTTCCTCCCAGGTTAAAAGTCCCTTTCTTCCGCACCCCTTGGGACTCCATGTTTGGGTCCCCTTCCATGAGCCCTCTCTCGTGGAAGCTGCTTTTCCTCTCCTAAATTCCATCCCTCCCTCTCAGTTCCCTACCACTCAGTGTGGAAGCCGTGTCTCCTCTCCTGGATTCCACCCTCCGGAAACTCTCACTTTGTGAGAGGAGCTTTCCTTCTCTGGTTTTCCCCCTCTGGGAACCCTTCTCACTCAGCGTGAGAGTGGTTTTTCTTCCTCTCAGTGTGAGAGCTAGCTGTTTCTCTCTCCTTCTCCTTCTTCTCTCTGCTTTAAATAAAATCACTTTCTACAAACACTTTTGAGTCCAGCATTTACTTTTATGAGTGCACTGCGCCGTGGTCTCCTCTCTCATTCTTGGACCAAGAACCTGGAGAAACGTCCTCTCAGGGGAACTGAGGGCACCCCTGAACCCCTGAACCCCAAGGTTACAATAAGTCATGGTATAAGTAAAAGTGAGTACTCAGCCCCACCCAGGTAAAGACCTAGAGCCTGCCAGAAGCCCAGGGGTCTGTGTCTCCAGCCCCTGCCTCACCTCCGAAGGCACCTGCTATCTTGGTCTTCATGATCTGTAACACAGTGCACTCCTAAATATTGCATATGTGTCCCTAAACAACATACTGTATCCACGACATTTAAAACCTTATTGATTGTGAAGTGTGCCATTAGGTTATGTACCAATAATAAGAAAAAACAATGCAATTAAACTCACATGTTCTTGATTAGAATTTTCATTTTATGGTTATTAAAAAGAATACTTATCACTTGTAACTTACTAGCTCAAGCTGATGCCTCACACACACATGAAAACAAATTTAAAAATTCTTACGCAGCTCAAACTGCCAAAAAGCCCAGCTGTGCTGTTGGACTCAGGCAGACATGCAACAGCGGCACCAGCAACTTCTCTATACGAGCTTTGATGAGGTTCTGGAAGTTTAAAGATGATGTCACCTATTGGCTAATGAGGCCAAATGGTCTTGACTTTCGTACTAAGACTGTTAGCGGTCTGCAAGGAAGCCCAGAAACAGTGGAGATGCACTATGGTAAGAAATTCTCAGTGGCCAGCACTCCTTTTGGATAGAGGATGATACAGCAAGGGAAACGCAGACACAGACAACCTGGGTGAAAAGTGATGGGGAGAATGTGGAGCCCAATTAGGAAGAGGTTTTAAGACTACCTGAACCAGGATATTTTGCTTTTCTTTTTTTTATGCATGCATGAGCATAATCTATAATAAAATCTGTGTGCACACACATCATAAATTTTCTTAATAAGCATAAGATGAAAATTCTATTCAAGAAAGTTTTTTTTCATTTAACTGCATCATTTTTCATTATCTGTATGTAAGATAATTGCATACTTCACATTCAATATGGTTTAAATGTGTTAACTAAAAAAAAATTCACAAACTTATAAATGTGGAGAAGAGACTTTATTTCTTATAACGGTTAGAATCTACAAGGTGGCCATCCCACAGGCTGAGAAGCGTAGACTCTGGCAAAGCCCAGAGACAGGCATTTTGAAAGAGGCGGGGCTGGCTTGGCACAGTGGCTCACGCCTACAATCTTTGGGAGCCAGAGGTGAGCAGGTCACCTGAGGTCAGGAGTTTGAGGCCAGCCTGACCAACATCGTGAAACCAGCATCGCTACCAAAAATATACAAAATTAGTTAGGTGTGGTGGCGCATGCCTGTAATCCTGTAATCCTGGCTACTCAGAAGGCTGAGGTAGGAGAATCTCTTGAACCAGGGAGGTAGAGGTTGCGGTGAGCCTAGATCACGCCATTGCATTCCAGCCTGAGCAAGGAGAGCCAAACTGCATTCCCCCCAACCCCTTTTCCCCCAAAAAAGAGGAGGGGCTGAGGTAGCATCTTTGTGCTCAACAGGTTGGCTGTTTAACAGCTTACAGGAGGAGCTATGAATATTCATGAAGGCGGTCCTGATGCATGCGCATTGAACACACATGTATGTAACGTATGACAAGGCAGCCTCTGTAAACTGGCCAGAAACAGTCCGTGATGGTTGGTCTTCTCATCTGGAGAAAGTTACTGAAATCCATTTCTTGTCCAATCAAAGCTGTGGCTATGGCTGGTGAAACAGCGGGGTGAGTTAGTCATTGTCTAGTGGTGAGCTAAAAATTGCTTGACTATTGTTTATCTCATGGTCCGTGCTTGTTTTGCTGCTAGAGAAAAAGAAAAACCTTGCGGCAGTTAGAAAATAGTTGATTCTTTAAAGCATAAGGGCGTGGTACTTAACCGGAATGGCCTTGGGTCCTGTTTACAACGTGGCATCTTGTTGCCACAGAGTCTGTTCTGTCAGTCTTACGCCCTCTATTTTAACATGAATACTGGTCACTTGTGTGTACACTGCAAGCAAAAGGGAGGGCGACAACGAGGCGTGTCTGACCTCCCATCCCATAATGGCTGGGAACTCAGCTTTTAAGGTTTTTCTGGGTCTTTTAAAGGTTTTTGTTGGCCAAGAGGGGGTCCATTCAGTTGGCAGGGAACTTAGGATTTTATTTTTAATTTACAGATGTTATGAATACTGTATGTTGTGTAGGGATGTATATGCAAGTGAATAAATGAAACACAGCAAGGAATTGACTATGGTAAAAATCAAGCTGGTGGGCACCGTGGGGGACGAGGCAGGGGTCAGGGAGAGACCCTGGCTTCTGGCAGGCTCTAGGTCTGTACTTAACTAGGTGGTAGGAACTTCGTGCTGAACAGGTTGGCTGAACATACATATTCAACAGCTTGTAGGAGGAGCTGTGAATATTCATGACGTCTCATCCCATCATGGCTGGGAACTCAGTTTTCAAGGTGTGGTTGGGCATTAGTTTTACTATTATTGGGTGAATTATAAATATATGTCTTTTGCACTTTTCTATGTGTGTTATTTTCATAATCAAAAAGTTTGAGGCCAGGTGCAGTGGCTCATGCCTATAATCCCAGCACTTTGTGAGGCTGAGGCGGTTCGATCGTTTCAGTTCAGGAGTTCGAGACCAGCCTGGCCAACATGGTGAAACGCTGTCTCTACTAAAAACACAAAAATTAGCTGGGCATGATGGTGTGTGCTTGTAATCCCAGCTACTCAAGAGGCTGAGGCAGGAGAATTGCTTGAACCCAGGATAGGGAGGTTGCAGTGAGCCGAGATTGCGCCATTGCACTCTGCCTTCCAGCCTGCGTGACAATGAAACTCCATCTCGAAAAAAAAAGGTTGAAATACATTCTAAACTCAAGTTATAAACTTGGGATCCTTTGGCTCCTGAGGAAACTGCTGCAGAACGAAAGCTCCAGGGGCTTGGGTGCAGCAAGTGGGTGATGCATTTCCCACCAGCAGGAATCTAGCTTCTGGCCAAGGTGAGTCAGGCAGAGCAGCAGCCGTGGTGCCATCCTTCTGGGAGGCAGATCCCAGTTAGCGGAGAAGGTCCTGGCCAGTGCGAAGGTGCCAGCCTCATCCTCAGGGCTGGGTTTGGGACTCTTTCCAGAAGGAATGATCTCTGTGCTTGGGTTGGTTGGTAGGCGCAATGGATCCTTTAACACTGGGAAAATTCATACATATGGGAGTGAGAGACACGTGGCAGTGAACTATAAACAAACATTAGCAGGTTCTTAGAAACTCTGGGGGTGGGACACACAGGCAACGCGGACTACAGCTGTGCACTATCACACCTGGTTAATATTTTTTTTTGGTAGAGTTGGGGCTTACAGGTCATAGGTAGATTTAAAGATTTTCTGATTTGCAATTAGTTAATGAAAAGCAGCTTTGTTTATAGATTTGGGGTCATCAGGAAAGGATGTTAGCTCTGGCTCGTGTGACTCCCTCCAGGGCCTCAGGAAGAAACTTAGAACAAAGAATGGCGGTCCAGAGTTCAGTCTTTGGTTCCCTCTCATCGGAGGTCTGTGTGCCACAGATCTGTTTGGTGGGGGTCCGGTTTTCTGGAAAACAACTCAGGGACTTTAAACTCCTGGACTGGCTATTTGTCCTTCTAACATCCACCTCCCTTCTTCCTTAGGAATGGAATCCTGACTTTGTTTGGGTGTCACCATGCCCAGACAGAAACCTCCCTTCCTCAGCCTCTGTGCATCTGCACGTTGACACAGTCTGGTGAAGAGTTACCATCTCACGGTTTCAGGCAAAGCTTTTGCTTTTGTGGCCGAGGCACGTTCCTTCTTTGCTTCCCTCTCTCTTGCTAGACAAACAAGAGGACAGGAGATCAGCTGTCTGTGGCCAAAGAAAGGGGAGTGAAGCCAGTGTGAGCGCCCGCCTGGGACTGCCTCCTTTGGCGTTTGCTGCGTTTTCGATACCATCTCCCGGATAGGGGCAGGCCACTGTCAGTTGGCTTTTCTTTTGCGTGCAGCTGAATGTAGTCCTCAATGACGCACGGAGGGGGCCATGAGTGTTTGCACGGGGGCACAGTCCTCCTGCACCAGTGCAGCCTCAGGAAGGGCCTCTCTCAAATCTGCCTTGTTCTCCCATCAGGAAGCAGGGAGGAGGGGACTGGGCCAGGAAGAAGGCGTGGCCTGGAATATCACTAACTCAGCATGGGGGTCTCTGTGAGTGGATGCAGTGTGCTTGTACTATTCAATCCTGATGTCCTCAGGGGCTGGGAATTGTCTTGCCCTCATTCTCAATAAGCCTAAAGCGAGGCTAGGCCCTGAGGAGGGGACACCTGGGAGCACACATTCTGATTGGTGCTCAGGCGGTCACCTCCAGCTTGCAGAGAGCAGGTGGGCCAGGTTGGGGCACCCCACCACTCATGGGAGAGCACACAACCTAATGTGCTGTGTGTCTGAGACCGTGTGCATCAGTGGGTCCCGAGTCCGGTAGGTGACAGGGCAGGGAGGATGCCTCATCCTCAAACCACAGTGGGCCTTTCAGGTTCACTTTTTTTTTTTGAAATGGTGTGTCATTCTGTCTCCCAGGCTGCAGGGCAGTGGTGTGATCTTGGCTCACTGCAACCTCCACCTCCCGGGTTCAAGTGATTCTTCTACCTCAGCCTCCTGAGTAGCTGGGATTATAGGTGTGCACTACAGCACCCAGCTATTTTTTGAATTATTTTTTTAGTAGAGACGGGGTTTCACCATGCTGGCCAGGCTAGTCTTGAACTTCTGACCTCAGGTGATTGTCTGCCTCAGCCTCCCACAGTGCTGGGATTACAGGCCTGAGCCACCACACCGGGCCAGGCTCACATTTTTGTTAGAAGTGCATTAGGGAGTCTCACCACAGTGCAGAGAGAGAGAAGAGGGAGGAGCTAACACATCTTGCCTGACCAGTGTGTCCCCATCAGGACTTAACATGTTCCTGCAGCCACCCAGAGACGTGGTTACTAAAATTGCCATGGCAGAGGTAAAGCAAGGAAGAAGTGAATCGCCCAGACATCGGAGGGAAGAGGCCGCACATTCGACCCACCTCCAACAGGGCAGCCACTGTGCTTTCCATAGCAGCTGGGACACAATTGTGAAAATTCCATTTCACAGACTGGCTCATGGGGAATTCTGAGCAATTGAACTGGATAATAAATTAGTGTTTTAAATCTTGTTATGACTTTTAAAAATTTTAATTCATCAAGACTTTCCTTCCGGCTCTTCTCCCCTGAGTTCCCAGCTGTGCACTTTGCATCTTATGCAGATATGAAGGCAACTCGGCATCTGCATCTTTCCCCGTGCTCAGGCCTCAATCCTGGGAGTCGCCCGAATTTCCCGCATGTCCTGCAGCAGCGACGGCATCTGACACGTTGTGTGGCTGGCTGTCCCCCATTGAAATCATAGCTCTGGAGGGCAGGGTGTGTTTCTTTGTTTTCCATCCTGGTGCGCAGGGACACTGTGTGACCTTGGCGCAGATCAGGGGCTCAGTGAGTTGAAAACGGCGGTCCGTGCGCCCACCGCCTGAGGTCGGACTCTCTTCTCCCTGTGCCTGCCTCTCCCATTAGGCTTGGGCTGTGTTCAGGCGCAGACCCTGCTAAGTCGCTTCTGTATTTCCGGGGCCAGCCGCCGCAGGGGCGCCGGAAACGTTTCTTGAACTAAGTTGAACAGATCAGAGCAGCTGGGATGTCCACAGGTGAACCTGGATGAGGGGAGATAGGGCGGTCTTGGAGCCCATCAGGCCCAGGGCCATGCCTCGGCAGATGGCATGTCTTAGTTTGTTTCCCTAGAAGCAAGCTGAGGAAAAGATCGCAGCACAAGGCACTTACCTGGGAGGTGCAGGAGAGGAGCAGGGACAGCAGGCAGGGCTGCCAGCAGGGGAGCCAGCCACTCTGGTGGGGGGCTGGAAACGCTGGGCTGGTGCAGACACACCAGCTCTCAGGGGTGCTGCCCTGGGGCTTCTGCCAGCAGCTGCAGGGAGGGCAGGATGGTGGTGCAGAGATGCAGAGGCTGCAGTGGGGTGGGGAGGCTAAGCTGCTGTGTGGTGGGGCTGAGGGGTGAGTGGTTCTCTGAAGCAGCTGCTACTCACTGGGGAGAGTGCAGTCATCCTGGGGGAGGGAGGGCATCCTGATTCAGGATGGGAGGGAGCAGGCAGGAGCACCCCAACAAACTGCTGGGGTCACTACTTCTGTCATGCTGATTCTTGAACTGGAGGGTGAGAAGCAGCAGGACGTGGCTGCCGCATGAATGGAGCGCTGCACCTGGGCCAGGGCAGCTGGTGGCTGTTTTAACAAAGTAACTCAGCTTTGGATCTGGGTGGACCCAGGTTCAAATCCTGCCTGTGATCCTTTCCAGCTTAATCTTAGGCAACTTACTTGGCCATGTTTTCCTTGGTGGTGAAATGGAGACAGAAGGCTCCGCAGTAGGAAGGCTGTGGCCCTACATGATAGGTGCAGGCTGGAGACCTGGCGTGGCCTAGGTTCAAGGCAGGCCACACACAGCTGTGTCCCCCCCTCCCCCAGCCAGTGTCACCTAACCACATGCTGTTTTTATCAGCTAAGATAAAGCTAGCTGCTATAATAGATCAACCTCATCTTCTCCGTGGCATGATTTAACACCTTAGAATTTTATTCCTTACTCAGGGAAGCTCAGTCTATGGAGGTAAGAAGTGGAAGGTGCTCTCTGCAGCTCTGACAGATCCAGGCTGACAGTCCCTGCCATCCCCAAGGCTCAGCTCCTGGATGCCCTTGGCTGCAGACAGTGGAAGGGAGGGAGCGTGGAAGGCCTGCCTGAGGTCACTCAGCACGCGTCAGCTTCATTCCCAGTCCATGGCTGGAGAGCAATCACGTGGTGCAGGGCTGCAAAGGCTGCCGGGAAGTGTGTTCTGTGTTGTGTGCCCAGAGCAAGGGAAGCGTTTGGTGAGAGTTTGCCCTCTCCACCACAGCGCTGCTGTGACAGTCGAGATCAAATGCATGAGGCACTGGCTTTCACACAGTTAAGGCGTCCTCACTGCCACGAGCTAGGTTTTCCTCCAGCTTCTGCTCCTGTCCAGACAGAGCACCTATGTTTTTTTTCTATCCACTGAATCAGAGAACCCGCCTTTCTCAGGGCAGAGACCAAATTCCCAACTTGTATGAAATGAGATTTTCTTCCCAGTAATACATAGTGGAATGTCTACAGACATCTGTAAGTGTTTGTTGCAGCCCGTGATTTCTCCCTTGTTAGGGACCTGTGGCCCCTGCATCCGGCTCCCCAGGATGGGACTGAGCTGAGCTTGGGACGTTGAGAGAATGCCAGACCCAGGATTTTCCCCACAAGCAACTAGATCCTGACCACCGGTTTTTGATGAGAATCAGGTTTTGAAGACTGATCTGGTTTATAAGAGCTTCCTCATGAAGAAGGCTTTGTAGATCTCACCATTTACAGATATCAGAGACAAGTTTCCTTCTGAGTGATGTCATTCTGCTCTGACGTCCCTGGGAACACACATCCGAGTCAATATCTCCGATCTTTTCAAATTAAGTTAGCTCCCTCTAGGGAGCCAGACAGAAGGCGGCTTGAAAGCAACGAACAATATAGATTCGTCCATTTTTGATGCTTGGATTAAATTTTATTAAAATGACTGTTCCCTATTGCCGAAACCATCTATTTTGAGAATTATTTGTCATTATTTCTAAGATCATACTTATAGCTCTGCCCTAAATTGTAACTAAATCGGAAAAGCATACTTAAATTCTGCCTAAGTGATAACTTAATCCACATTTAAAGGACTTCCTTGGATGAAGGACACTGGAAATTTAAACTTTGCAACCTGTCTTTTTACTGCCCTTTTCTGTTCATCTTAGATCGGCGTAATGGCATAAACTAATAACAATATGGCAAGTATTTAAAGACTTAAAAACCACAGACCTGCGTTTGGAAACTATTTTTCTTCAAGAAAGTATATGCCACTCTGCAAGAAGCCAGATGTCTTTCCACTGGGGCACGTCTGGCTGATGGTGGCACTGCTCACGTCCCCTCTGATGAGGGGGTGATGGTGGCACTGCTCACGTCCTCTCTGACGAGAGGCTGGCACTGCTCACGTCCTCTCTGACCAGGGGCTGATGGTGGCACTGCTCACGTCCTTTCGGATGGCGGCACTGCTCACGTCCTCTCTGGCCAGGGGCTGATGGCGGCACTGCTCACGTCCTCTCTGATGGCGGCACTGCTCACGTCCTCTCTGACCAGGGTGACCACATGCTCTGGCTCGCTGGCCACATCCAGTTTTGCCTGTTGTTCTAGGGTCCTAATAGGGCCCCCGTTCACTCTCAGAAGTGTCCTCTTTGAGATCACCCTACGTGGTCACCCTATATCTGGTTGATGTGATATTAGTAAGCATAAAGTGACCTTTGAGGAAGCCAGATCATTTATCCATTGGGGTGACTGGAGTCTTTCTGAGAAATATTGACTTTATTTTAAAAGATTTCAATACCTTCAGACACACTGATTTTTGATGACATGAATTGCATGTATAAAGAGCGTTCAGTAAGCTCAGAGACACTAACAGAAAGCACATGAACCACAGAGGTGTGGAGTCTAATATGGCAGAACGGTGTTCCATCCTCTACTCCCAGAAATCAGTAGCTCCACCTAATGGTTCTCTGGACCTGGTAAGCCCTGAAAGCCATCTGTTAGGTGGAGACGGAGCTCATAGCTCCTGGCGTCAGCCTGTGTCTTTTCTTATCTCTGTTGCTTTCCAGGTGATGCCAGCAGCCCCTCCCTGATTAGCCTGGCACTTTCTGCCATGCACCTATGTCATGCCTGCAGCCACTGCTGCCCAGAATCTTCAGTGGTGCCCCTGCCTTCAGTGTCCTCTGCCCAGCTCCGTCAGGGCATCTGTTTCTATGACCTCTGCCAGGAGATGTGGCGCACCTGCCATCAAGATCCCAGGTGGGTGGAGGGACAGGCAGGTGTGAGCCTTCATCTGGGGCCAGCAGCATTCACAGCCAGGGTCTGCAGGTGGAACGCGAACCCCACACCCATTGGCTCTTTGACCTCAGACAGGCTTCATAACCTCACTGTGCCTCAGTTCCCTCAGCTGTCAAATGTCTAATGGTTGCTACCTCCCAGGGGTGTCACAAGGATTAGAGGCATCACCCCCATGCCTGTGCTCAGTGTATAGGAGGTGTCACCCGCATGCCTGCCTCAAAGCCTGCCTGACTAACCCCTGCCGCCCTACGGGAGGTGTTCTCTGTTGTTCAAAGACGTTTTGGTTCAGAGAGGGAGACTCACTGGGCTCAGGGCACCCCTAAGGAGGTCACTGAGTGTGGCCTGGAACCCCAGGTATGGAGATGTGTCCTGGTGCCAGGAGGAGAGAGGTCCCATGAGCCTCCAGCCTGGGTGTCTGCCTTTCTCCTCTGGAGGTGTCCTCACCCATGGCAACACTCCTGTTCCAGCTCCCAGCTGGGCCTCTGGGCTTGGGAAAGGTGGCTGGCTGCTGGGCTGGCAGCCCAGAACTCATCTGCAGAGGGCACAACTGAGTGAAGGGTGAGATTGGGTGTTCCTGCCACCCTGCAGGGCCCTGGCGGGCTCTCTCCTGCCTTTGCTCCCCGACCCCTCCACCCGTTCTCTATGCAGCTGTTCCTGTCCAGGCTGCCTCTTACTAATGCCTATTGTGGCAACATACCAACAGCAAGCATTGGAATGTGCCTGTTGCCCTCTCTGCTCAGCTCCCTGCCAGCACCCACCCCAGACCCTGTCAGTTGGGAGAATGGGGGACATCACCAGAGTCTCAGTCATTGTTTCTGAATATGGGGAAATAGTCCTCACCTGCTATGGTTGTCCCTTCCCAAGGACCATGCCTGCAGCAGGAAGGCTCACAGCAAATACCCACTGCTACTGTTACTCCCTGACTTCACAGAGAGAGACAGTGACCACGTGGGACTCCCCTCCCTTTCCACACTGCCCATTGACTTCCTCTTGCTATGCACCCACCCTTCTGGTGCATGCAGCCCGCTTTGGTGGGGTGGTGGTGGGTGGGAGGCTGGAAAGGTCATGGTCTGTGCTTTCAAGCTTTCCAGCTTATGTGGAGGCATTTCTTCAGCACAAACTACCATCCCTCATAATGGAGCAGCTGCTGCTGGTATGTCTTGTTCTTTCGAAGCACCTGAGCGGCTGTTGTGAGAGTGATCTT